GTATGTGTGTATGTGTGCGTGTGAGAGTGTGTGTATATATATATATATATATATATGTGTGTGTGTGTGTGTCAGAATTTATACATACATACATATATACGTACAAAACTACATAAATACATACATACATTCAACCATACATACATACATGCATACATACATACATACATACGTATATATATATATATAATATATATATATATATATAAATACGTACATACATACCTTCTTACGTACATACATCCCTTCGTACGTACATGTATACATACATACTTACTTTCAGACTTGCAGGCATACGCATGCAAGCGCACATACATCCATACATCCATGCATAATATATACCTACATACATATATACATATATACATACATACATACATACATACATACATACATACATGCATACATGCATACATACATGCATGCAAGCATGCATACATACATACGTACATCTATCCATACATACACACATATACAAATATTCATACAAACATATCTACATACATATTTACATACTTAAACACATACATACATATGTACATACATACATACATACATATACATAAATATGTATACGTGTGTGTTTATTTGTCGCCGTGTGTGCATGGTGTATATATTCTGACTAGACTTTACTTAATATATAGTTTTTCATTCTCGAGACACTATATGTGTGTCTATATAATGAATTCACTTCAGGATTTCAAATCCTCGTACACAATTGATAGTGTCTTAGTGAATGTGCGGATCAAAGAAGCACTTCGCACACAAAGTGTATACATAAAACAATTTGCGAAATTTCGTCACACGCGTACAATTAACCAGTAACTGATATACGCATGCGGAAGATAGCTTGTAGTGGGCAGGATATGCCAAAAATACCGCATATTCTGGAGAAGAAAAACACCTAGAAAAAACACCTACCTGTGATTTCTCGTTCGCGTCGGCTTCTGCCTCGAGCAAGACTTTAGCCACACGAATCTGATTGTTTCTACAAGCACAATGTAAAGCCGTATCTCCGTTGCTGTCACGCATTTTTAAGTTATCCTCCCTCTTAAGTTTTTTCATCACTGTCTTCATGTCACCTATTTCGGCAGCTTCCAATATACTAATTTTCTTACCAAAGCTGAATGCACCCATGGTTTCGATTTTGCGAGTTTACTACTGGAGATCTGAATAGGAACGCGTATTTGGGAATGCTTCTTGTCGTTACAAACGTTGAGTATCCGGTGGTGCGCGCATCATATCCTCGATGATAAGTGGATATCCAGAATACATACCCTATCGATAGTAGTTAAATATTAAAAAATATCACATCACACTATCTCTCTCAGTGGGAGAAGGTATCCAACTATGCATACTACAACTTCAGATTGCACAGACCCATTTATCATACAACTCTGTACTTTTAGTGTCCTACATAGAGTAGAGTAAATACAAATAAATAGAGAGTAAATAGTAGTGAGTATTTAGCGGACTGAGAGGCTGAGACTCAGGCTAAATATTTATGTAGCCAATCTGCCAGGCTGCCAGCCTAAATATTTTTTACAGGACTGTAGGGAGTAGTCTGTAGCCTGTAGGCTGTAGGTCGCAGGAGAGTGTGAATATTTATGTATGTAAATACATAGCCCTCTAAATTGAACATGTTTTTAGAAGGCTATGGTAAATAGCTGTATTGAATCTAGGCTCTACTTTTTTTTTGTTAGAATTTATTGCTATAAATAGAGGATAGCAACCTCTACTATGCAGCTGTTTGCTAGCAGCCAGCAGCCAGCAGCCAGCACAATGCTGGGCAATATTTGGTATACGACAGCGACCTATATAGTATATTCATACACTGTAGAAGGTAACACAATAGTATGATATGTACGATCAGTTTATTTGACATGCATCCAAGTCCTAAGTTGTGAATTGGACGCTCATATTGTGTTCCCTTCGGATATATCCTTCAGCAGGCTAGTCCTGCTTCGACACTTAGTCTCTCCAGCATTTCACTGTCCTGCTAACATAGTCCTTGCCCGCATAGTGTCAACCTATGACGTATTCCAGGCCCTCTACTATAGCATCCCTACCCTATCGCCATATCGTTGATATCATAATGACACTATGTGGCTCCTCTTGTAGACAACCATACTGGGCAGCCAACCAATATAGCCCTTCTACTAGATATCCTTTGACACCTTCCATATCAGGCCTCCTCTCATATCAGTTCTCTGTTTATCCTCAATAGCTAGCTTCCCTTTGCCGTCAATCCTTGCCCTTTCCTGTACTGCATCAGCTTCTACTGTATTTTTGTGACACTAAGCAGTCCTGTTGTTCTTACTGACATGGATACCCAATTGTAATCCTTCCTGGCATTCTTTTGACATTCTATACTGATATGACAGGTATCCACCTCTCATTGTTCTTGGACTGTTTGGTACCTAGTGTACACACGAACAGTTCATCTTGTAGGACGTTACATCCCTCTGTAAGGACGGAAATCGTTAGCTATACGTGCTTCCTAGTCCTCAGGATTGATCGTATCTGTTTCAAATAAAGCAGGTGACTCTTGTCAACGCAACTTGAGTATAATATTTGTATATATATATATATATATATATATATAT